TTCAAACCTGTAATTAATCATTACATTCTAATCATGGCTATAAAAAGTAACACATCACCTTTCAACTTATATCCAAAAATAACTAATGAACCCAACATCTTTATAAGATTTATTTTGGAAGATGTTGGATTCAGATCATTTCTCCAAAAGAATTGACTAAACGATGATGCATTTATTATCATGTTAGACGAAATCAGGAGAAATGCATTGAAAATAAAAAATAAATTTGATCACTAATATATTTTAACAGGATTAGATATAGTTAACCATAACTATTATGAATGTTTTCCATTAACCAATTAGCAAGTCTAAGACAGTGCCGCTACATAGAGTTCCGTGAGACTTTGTGTGAAAAATTGAATCTCATCTTCAAGCATAATTTTATCTCCCCCAGAGTGACATGTTGAACACACAAAATGATCCCAATTAAGAAATTCTACACTTAGGATGAGAAGATCATTATGGGGCCACTACATATAATTTTCTCCCAAGTAAATAACTTTTCAATTGTTAAAATCACAATCATCATTACTTTTAATCCATAAATTAAGCATCAACTTTAAGAATCTTGCAATCATTTTATTGAATGCTCTATGAACTGTTAACTCTATAGCATAAATCACTCTGCAAATTTTTTTTTCCATTAGATATCAGATACCAGCTTTTCTCTTTCTGCCTAATTATTCACTGCTTATTTTATTTGTTCATAAGAAAGCTCAGAAAGACGGTCTCAAATCAGCCATGCTGGAATGAATAGTACGAACAATGATGGTTTCCAAATCAAGTGCATTAATATGATAATTCTCAACACCTACACAACATCTGATGGAAAAACTACGCTCTTATAAAACTCGACTCACATATTATGTTGGAGCAATATTTTATTTTAGAACTCAAATGCCATCTAACCTTGTAATAAAAATCCTCACCACAACAACAACAACAACAACAAATCCTTAATCCCACTACGTGGTTCGGCTACATGAATTCCTTTTTCTCCATTGCGCATTGCGTCCTATTTAGTGTCATATTTTCATTTAGTTCTAATAAATTAAGATCATTTTTTATACAATAAGCCAAAGTGTTCCTAGGTATACCTCTGCCTTTCTTGACATATGCCAAATCTAAAGCATCTACCATCCTAATCGGATCATCAGATGGTTTGCCGTTTAATGTGAACAAACCATCTAAGACGAAACTCTCTAATATTGTCCATCACTAGAGCTACCACCAACCCTATCACGGATATATTCATTTCACATTGTCTCTAAGTGTAAAGCCACCCATCCACCTAATCATTCTCATATCGGGAACACTTAACTTAATATTATGCTTCTCTTTTAAAGGCCAACATTCAACACCATAGAGCATTGCGGGTCTCACCACTATCCTATAAAAATTTCCTTTCAGTCTAAGCGGTACTTTTATATCACACAAAAGACCCGAAGCATTCCTCCACTTCAACCAACCAACTTGAATTCTACTATTAACATCCCCATCTATATCACCATCGCTTTGAATAACAGTCCCGAGATATCTAAAGCGTTCACACCTTTTAATAATTTGATCACCCGAAGTTGCACATCTGCCACTAGAGTTACCACTACTAAAATTACATTCCATGTATTCAATTTTAGTTCTACTCAAATGAAGGCCTTTAGACTCCATGTAGACCTCCATAATTCAAGTTTTTCCATTCAAGTTTTTCCTGGTTTTTCCTGGGCTTTTTCTCTCGTCTTATACAAGAGAAGGATATCATTAGCAAAAAACATACACCAAGGTACATCCTCCTGTAAATGTCCAGTAAGATGATCCATGATTAAAGCAAAAAAAAAGGGCTTAAAGTCGATCCCTAATGTAATCCAACAGAAATAGGAAAATATTTGGTCAATCCTCCTGTTTAAACACAAGTAACAACCCTTGTATACATATGTTTAATGACTTGAATATAAGTTTTTTGAGCTTTTTCTCTCTTCTTATCCACGAGAAGAATATCATCAGCAAAAAGTATACACCAAGGTATATTCTCCTGTAAGTGTTCAGTAAGACCATCCATAACTAAAGCAAAACGATATGGGCGTAAAGCTGATCCCTAATGTTAACCAACAAAAATTGGAAAATATTTGGTTAATCCTCCTTCTGTTCGAACACAAGTAACAACTCTTGTATACATATCTTTAATGACTTAAATATAAGTCATAACAACACTTTTCTTCTCAAGAACTCTCCAAAGGATATCTCTTGGAAGCTTATCTTAACTTTTTCTAAATCAATAAAAATCATATGTAGATCGTCCTTATTATCTCTAAAATTCTCTGTCAAATCCTCACTAGCTGGAAAAAAAAATTAATAGAATATAAACACTTAATCATAAAAAAAGATATTTTTTAATGCCCTTCAAAAACTCATAAGGCGATCATAAAGTGATCCTCCTATATCATCAATAAATCTTTTTGAAAAGTCAAATAATCCATAAAAGAACCTAATATCAAGAGTAATGATAGATTGAAAACATTCAAAAAAAAGTTCTAACCGTCAAAAAAATACTTGGAAAAAACAAAATAATAAAAAAAAGAATTACCTTAAGTAATGCATATGTACTTAGATTAATGGAAAGTTCACACAATCTAAAACTAAAGAAGCTTCCAAATATATGTGACTGTCATCAAAATAAATAAAGGTGCCAATTAAAAAACAAAACACATCATTAACAGTACTTTTAATGCATTCAAATCATTGAAAAGACAAAAAAAACATAATCAACCACCCCTTAAAGCTATTGTTTATTATTAAAGGAAGCGTTTCACTCATTCCCCTATACCTTACATATCCATATTTCATGATTACTAATTCAAGGATCATTTGGCTAACCATTAAACTAACGCCATTAACTCAGGAATATGAAAACATTCTTGATGATAATTTAATTGATTACTTTACATGCATGCATCAACTCCGACAATTTGCTGCAAGCAATGCAATGTTCTGTTAGGGTTTAAGTCCTCTCTAATTAACTTTCCTTGAACAATCAAGTCACACGCCTTTCAAAATTAACATATTCAATTAAATTAATCACATTATATGGCAAATCACATGTGGATGACCTAAGAACTAAATTTATAATATGTTGATGCCTTACAGAGTTGGAAGCTTACCAAATAAACCATTAAGACAAAATTAGTAAAACTAAAATAAAAACTAAGTAAATCAATAAGAAAGTAAATTACCAACAGAGAGGTCTTGAAATTTTATACCTCTAAAAATTAAACAAGCCCCACAATATCCTCACACTATAACTCATGACCACTCAATAAAGAGTGCAATTTCTTAAATCACTTACAAGGGATGTTATTTTTTATTTTTGGCTTGGAGCGATTCTATACTATCTTCTTGTGCTATCAAAGTGGGTTACATTTAGATCATATAACCAAGATCCACCAAGGACCACAAGAAAATGTTCATTTATACCGATTACATAAAAAATTTTAGACTTTATATAGCTTAATTTCAAGATCCACAAAGAGATTTTATATGATTATTGTTGAGACACGAGTTTAAAGTACATCCTTTCTCACCTACCTTAAAAAACATATCCAAAAAAACTCCACTGAAATTAACAAACACAAAAGATTATCCTATCTCTTAAACTAAATATGAACAGTAGTTCTTATGCCAAAAAACAACCTTAAGAGTGGCTAGGAGAAAATACATGAGATTCTAAGGCAAACTAAAGCTTCCTAAATGTCACTATACATCATGATCAATCTCATCCTCATGCGCTTCAATAATACATTCTGCATTTAACAAAGTGAGAAATCCACACGATATTCAACAGTATAATGACCATCTTGTTAGCATTTGAAAAAAAAAAAAACCCACCCATCTTGCTCAAAACTTGATCTCAAAACTTGATGACCCATTACAAAGTTATCCTTAAGATCCTTAGAAATAATGTTCCTATTCTCAAATTGTATCTTCTCGTGCCTTTTGACAAAACATACCATACATATAAAAACAGTAAAGCATTGCGATGCAAACAATAACATCATATTCTAAAATAGTGGGTTGGTACAAAATGCTTCTATCTTGTTGAAATCTAAACAGAAAAAAGCCCAAAACCGACTCGAAACTTGCAACTAGAGATTTGGCAATGGATATGTGGTCATCCTCCGATCTTACAACTATGGTGATGGCCCAACATCAATATCTTGACCAATACTAGATTAATAGATAGACATATTCATCAGCATGATTGTCAACAATTTTGACTTTATTACTTACATTGTTAATACTACAAGAATTTTTGTCATGTACCTTATTATAATACATTTGAATTTCCCTTGCTTATTTCAAGATATGTACTCATCAAGACAATAATATAAATAGTGCCCCTTAAATATATATATATATATATATATCAACTTGTGCATAACTGAGGCCAAAATTCTTCCATCTAGGTAAAGGATTCTAACTTTTCTTTTGTGCTTTTTTCTTGATATCCTATATCAAAAGGTAGCCTAGATAAGTATCTATCATAAAAAGTTAGCGGGGGCTATTGAAAATAATAATGAAATCTTCTCTACCCTTAACCTAAAGTATAAGGCTTGTAACTTATTCTATATTTGTCATGTCATTATCAAATGCCTGGAATCCACAGAATAGCTATTACCTTTTCTGTCTCGTGTTACTCCTATCATGACTTTGAACTATATTATCACAGCATAGAAAGTAAATAGACTGGAAATTATATTCAATTAACCTTTTTAGTTAGACAAAAAGCTTGTAAATAAAAAGCAAATATGCTTTCAGAGGACAGCCAAGCATAAAGTATTATTACTGACGCAACTATGTAAAACCATTCTACTTAAGGAAATAAATAAATACAAATACCCGAAGCATCACTACTGCTAAATCCAAAAGATACTCAACTAACATTAAATGCTAGCGGAAAATTAAAAGGTTGAAAATCATAAGAAAAACATGCCAAAATGAAGATCTACATTGCAACCCTCAATTGTTTTTTAAAGAATCGCCATCTAGAGCAATTGATCCCCAAAAGAATGCAGTATCGATGCAGCGAGGGATGAAGTTGGTCACAAAGAATGCAACCTAGCATATAAATTCGATGGAATCAGATTCAAATACTGCTATATGAAGCGCTCTTCTTATCATAGAAAGACCAAGGCAATATAATAAATTCAATTCTACATATTACCTTTACTTTGATGAAGATCCAGAAGTGAGAGAATTCCGATGAAGAACCCTCCCTTTACTGTTAGCACTGGAATCCTTCAAATCTCCTATCAAATCCTTCAACCCCGAACTACCACCCCTCGGCTCTACCTCTTCCTCCTCATCTCCCTTCTCCTTCCCGGCCTTTCCTTTCTTCTCCAGCAACCTCTCGAAATGATTCCCGTACACATACTCCGCATTGAATCCATCCTCTTCGTCAAACATCATGATATGGCCGTGCCATTCCCAAACCCTGTAGTTACTGGAAGCCTCGTCGTGAACCCCAACGCAGATGTTGTGCTCGCCAACGGCGACGGATTGACCCGAGTTGGCTTTGAGTGCCTCCTTAGCATTACCTGCGCGTATAATTCGAATGATTTCCCTCTCAAGCTTCGCCTCCTCCTTCGCAATAGTGCGACGGCGCCGATTGTCATCCGAAAGGTCATTTGCTTCGGTGGACTCATCGTCGGATAGAGGAAGATCATCATCGGCGAGTTGAGGGAAAAGGTCTCGGAAGAGTGAATTGGGGGAATCCTCGGATGATGGAGAGCGGAGATGGAGGCGGTTCATGAGGCTTTGCATTAGGAGATGATCCATGGGTGAGGAAGGAGGGAAGGAGTAGGGTTTGTTCGCCATTTTTTTTCTGTTTCCCTGCGAGCGAGACGTGAGGTCGGAGAGGGGTTAGGGTTTATGGGTTCTGTGAGAGCACTGATGAGTGTTGGCAAGGAAGAGAGATATTTGTGATTGAACTTAAGTAGGCCGTTGGCCATTTACGTGGGTAATGGGCTGTGGGCTGTGGGCCGTTGGGAATGGCATTTTAGAAAATTTAATGTGGATATTTAGCAAGGGTTATATAGGGGCGAAATCTTTTAGTACTTGCAATTAGTGTGTGTATACCAATTGAGCCTTGCTCGGGCCAATGCCAAACTCGAGCTAAGCTCGTTTGAAAATATGTGAGCTCGAGCTCACTTGCACGTGCTAGACCTAAAAATACAATTTTTAGGAGAGCAATGGAGAAGGCATTGCTGGCCAAATGAGGAGAAGGATACATCTTTAAAAAATACATTGAAATGACTAGCAATAGGCTAATCGAGGTGGCTCACGGGCATCTGAGCCTAGCTGGAATGAGCTCGTGCTCGTGGCTCAAAAAGTTCGGCTTGTAAACTTATCGACAAGTCGAAATTGAGCTCATTTACACCCCTACTAAGAACTCTTAATCAAATACTAATATCAAATGTGATATTTGATTGGTCATAATTAATGATAACCTTGTGTTATATATGGTTATAAATATTATACCTATTTATCATATTTTTATTTAATAAAAAATCAATAATTATGGAGTAACTTACTATAAAAAATTAGGATTAAATTATATGAGAGGGAAAACAGAAACAAATATATATTATGACATACATCAATAATTAATATTAATAAAATTTACTAGCAACTAAAAAGATTTTAAAGAATTTAGTAATGAGGTAAACCACATAGAAATAGCAATGATTTATAAGAAAATTTTAATTTTTTTTACATTAATTTATCAATTATAATAATTCGCATCTTCATTCCGTAATAAATAATTTGCAATAAATAAATTAAATAAATAGATTTTATCACTGTAAAAAATGTGAATATAACTAATCATTAGTAAATAAATAATAGAGATACTTCCACATTAATACTATTACATAGATAATAGTGATATTAAAATTGTGATTAATAAATGAATTTTTACTATTGGGAAGTAAAAAAACTGATTTAAATTATAAACTTTTTAATTATTAAATAATAAAAATAAAAGAAATCAATTCAATACTAAGCCCCATTCAACATTAAAATCAATAAATAAAAAGGATCCTGATCATACAACACAATCAAGTATTAAAAATCCCACCTTTGGTCATAAAAATCAGACTTTTCAATAAATAGTACTGCAAACCGAGCACTTTCTACCTGCTAAGAGGAGCCAATACTTTGAACTGCCATGACCGAGCTTCAGAAAGCCATGATTCTCTCCTCTGTTCAATGTAATGCTCCAAAGTCTGTGTTCTATCATCTATCCTATCAGTAGCCATGACATCTTCTGCAAGTTTAACAGCAGAATATTGAGACAACTGAAAGTTATATCCCGAAGATTGGAGCGGCCGAGCAATCTCCTCCTTTCCCAGCATCAGAAGAGCTGACAGTAAGGATTTAAGCTGACGAAGAGCATCGTCGGTGAGAGCCATGGCTTTCAGATGCTCAATCAGTGCCATCTCCTCTCCAGGGCTGCCAGAAAATGACGAGTAAAAGAGTTTTTGAAGTTGTTTCATGCAAATTATGAAGGAATCATCATCAGCTTACGGAACAAAAAGGAAGGTTTACATACATACCATTCAATTTTTATTTATTTATATATCTAAATCCCAACAACTAAACTTTAAATTTTATGTATATGCTAATATGCTATCTTATCTATGCATGAAAAGATTTAATTCACTTTTTAAAGTTAAAATGATGGTATTTTTGATGTGATATGAAAGATTTGGGTGGTATAAAAGGTTAAAAAGTAAAGTTTAGGTGTTAGATATGTAAATACATATGAATTGGGTGGCATGTATGTAAATGCCGCAAAAAGGAATACACAACAAAAACAAACAAATATGCATGTTAAATACCAACCTTCCGGCTCGAATCTTTCCTCTTTTATTTGCTTTGCATCGCGACTTTGTAATGTTAGTTGAGGCGGTTGAAGTAACTGAATTCTTAGCAGTCCTGCCAGAGGACAAAGTGTTCATTGATAGATTATAAGATGACAAGACAAGCAGATAAGGCAGTTAAAAAAGCCATCGCACTTTAAAAGCTTGTGTTCTGCTCGCTAAATTGCTTGTGTTTGAATTGTATATAAAACAAACAAGCGGCAAAACTTTTGTTTGATGCGTTTGGCTTGTTTCTCCTCAAATTAATTCAATCATTAAATAAATAATAATATTTTAACATTTTAATATTGACTTATATCCTATATTTAAACAAATGATAAATTTTAATTTTTTTTTTCATTCGAGCTAATAGCAAGCCGCACATGAGCTAACACAAACATATGAATTTGAATCGAGTCAAACACAAACAAGCTATTCACGAGTCTATTTCGAACAAGCTGGACAAGAAGAAGCAATGAGCTTGGTCAAACTCGGCTCATTTACACCCTACATGCAGATTAGCAGCAGTGATAAACAAGAAAAGTCGAACCTTGTGGTGTATGCACTCATCTCACTAAAACTACTGCTGATTTCAGAAACAGTGTCATAATCCGTATTTTCTGTCAATCTGCCCTCTGATTGAACCTTGGCAGAAAGTAGTAACCTTCTCTGACGTACAGCGAGATAGCGAGCCAAGTACTTCCCAAGTTTTTCGAGCGCCTCCTTATAATCCGACATCAACGAACTTGCACATTCCAAAGCTGCATCTTCAACACGGGAAGCAAAATCCTCACTCTCATCCATACGACTAATTCTAAGAGCCTCTTCCCATTCTCGTGCCATAATATAATACCCTACGCATCGACCAACATCATTACAATACTCCAACACAATCCTGGCTGCCTCCACCGGTTTACCGAGTGCTTGAAATTCTTCGCAAAGTTCGTTCGCCAGTTGACAGACATCTCCTTTGTTTAAACCCATAAGTGAAGCTACTGTGAGCACACCTTTCCAATCACCTGCACCCCTATAAGCTTTCAAGGCCTTATGATGAGAATAAGAACACAAATAAGCAGAAGCAGCATCTTGAAAGCATTTCTCATCATAAAGATGGTCGCCCCATGCCTCTATGACTTCAGTTCTATGAGCACTTTTGGCGAATAATTGAAGGCCAAGTGAAAAAAGTTGTGGATTTTGCTTCATAAGATTCAAGCAATCTTCATAATGGTCTTCGCCGGCCGAAAACATGTGCTTAAGTGCACTCTCATACCTTCGTAACCTCAGGTCGATTGAGTATCTCATTACAACCGGCGGTGAATTTTCCAGCTCTTTGAGATAGGGAAGAAACTCTTTAGGATCCTTTTGAGAGTTTAATGCAACAATGGCAGCAAGGTTTATGTCATAAAGACCCAAAGCAGCTTCAAAGACGGCTTCAGAATCAGCTAACCATAACAGATGTTTCAAGGATTCTTCAGCAGAAGGGAATGAGCTCCTTTCAGCATCATTCACACCCAATACTTCCATCTCGCGGATTGATTTTATTCTGTTAAGCGCTTCCTCTAAAGCAGGTGGCTCATTTCGAGCTAAAGTTGTCAATATACAGAGCTCTCGTGCCGGACTTCCTCGTACTTGTTCTTCAAGAGCCTTTCGTATCGCTCGCAGAACAGAATTTACCTTTCCCTCTTCAATAAAATTGGAGCTTTCCATACTCACATTGGAAGTTTCATCAGTAATAGATGGACAGTTGTAATCTTTGTACAAACTATCCATCACATTTCCACCTTTTATGGACGAAACAAATTCTGTGACATAAGCAAGGTTGTCTACTTGTTTAACGAACTCTGCAGCTGATTTAATGAATCTTTGCCAACCAAAGCAGTCAATAATGAAATTAAAATCTATCCGATGCCGCCTCACCATAGCCAATGCTTCTTTGAAGCGCCTCTGTTGTAAAGCATTAAGTATCGAAAGAAGGACCAGCTTCCTTGGATAAATACATTCCAAGCTGCCCCGATGCGCCTGTAAAATGATCGCAGCTTCCTCTCCGTGGAGAGCTCCGATCAATTTTGCGCCTTTTTCCCATATATTAATAAAGTCTTTATCTTTATCTCGTCTATTTGGCAGGTCTTTTAAGCTTTCGATTTTTATTTCCTTGTTTCCCTGTAAAATATCATCTATGCTAACAATGAACAAAAAATCCTGCTTTGTAGTGAGAAAAAGATGTGTACTTTGCTCAGCACCGCCACAACCACTAGAATATAATGTAAAACTACTGCAATTACTGCATAAAACTCGCTTCCCAACCCGAAGTTTTCCATCGTAGTCGAGCCCTAAAAGTAAAGGCTTCGCATCGCCATTGTCACAAACCTGAACTGCTTTCATCCACGGGCATGATGCTGAAAATCCGTGTTCGGGGTCGGGCTCACCGAATCGTGATCCTCTTCTTAAAGAAAAACCGGACGTATAATCGAAGATAGTTCCCCCTTCCATCTGAACAAAAGCAGATGCCTTTTTACAAGGATTTGAGACAATGCTAACAACAACCCCTTCAAGAGGCGAACTCTTAGAGAGATTTGCATGCCAACCCGAAGAATTTAAGAGTTCAGGTATAGAATCCACCGAGCATACAACTTCGAACTCCAACAAAGAATATGCAGAACAATTCAAATTTTGATGAATAAGTTCGCTCTCATCTCGTGATGATTTTGAGAGTGAATCACATGGGTTGCGAGTCACACCGAGCAAGAGGTGAGAATCTAACCACATGATTTGTGCAAATGTTCTAAACTTTAAATCCAACCTTGCAGTTTCGATGACAAATTCTTCATCCTCGAATCGCGCCCACGAATCTATCCTAGGAAGCTCCATAACACCTAAACTCCCATCTGAGAGGCTTGCAGCCAAATGGTTCTTAGAGCTGTTATGAAGAAAAGCAACATCCTGAATGGAAGCTGGAAACTTTAAGATGAACAAAGACATGGGAGGTGGTACGAGGGACAGATTAAGCGGAGAAACTAATAGTCTAGAGCCATCAACAACCAGTGCAGTTGAATTCTCTGTTACAGCAGTAATCCACACAAAATTGTAGCTTGTAATTGTTCCACCGACAGTCCAAATAATGAGATTTGTCGGCTTTGTTGGGTTCCACATGAATTTCACACCTTCGCTCTTTGAATGTCTTATTTCTTGTTTCAAGTACCAATGGTTGTTACTGAAAAACCAAATTTTTATAGCATCATGCTGAGAACACTTGGCAGAAGTAGCAAGAAGGTCAGAACTGCAATTCCATTTTACGATACTGATTTCTGCTGGTTCATCCATGCATAAGGAATTTCGCTCGAGCCCATTCTTCTCAAAGAAAACTATAAGCGGTTTGGTTGCGATCTTGCAATCATAAGCCATTGTAATCTTGGCGCCACTCGGCATCCAATCTAAGGCTTCTCCCACAAAAGCCTTGGGTTCACTCTCAGAATGTAAAATTCCGGATTCACGCTCCCAAATCCTCAACTTCTTGGAGTAGCATTCATGGAGTCCACCAAGAGTAGCAAAATACTTCCCATCACCCCTCCAAGAAATTGGGGCATGAAAATGGGAGGGATAACCATCCACATCACCTATGGCATCATTCTGGTAATAGATCAAGTAAGATGACTATCAGAGAAAAAAAAAAAAAAAAAAAAAATAATTCATATTAGGAAGAGATGCATACACACCACTCAATTCTTATGTATTTGCATATCTAACACCTGAAGTTTTAACTTTTTACATATATACTACCTTACCTATGCATGAAAAGCTGTATTTCACTTTTTAAAAGTTAAAATGATGATATTTTTGACGTGACATGAAAAATTTAGGTGATATAAATGTAAAAATCAAAGATGTAGTTGTTAGATATGTAAACACATAGGAATTGGGTGGTATATATGTAAATGCCCCTTTATATTATATAACAGCAACATGTACAAATATACATCATGAAACTTGAATGCACAGAGCCACGTTCAATACGCTAAATAAAGTCCTGCCACATATTTAAATTACTGTAAATGTGAGAGCAAAGGCGAAAATGAGCAGAAACGAAGGGTTTTGCTCTATAAAAGCTAAACAAATCTCGCTTACACAAATAGAATTTAGGTGAATAGCCAGGGAAATAAAATAAGTGAATTAAAAGAGCTTTGCAGGATGAAATAGTTCATATGGAGCTAATGATATGAATATGAATATGAAGGCATTTTAATTGACACCATGAAAATCAAAATTTACACTTTTTCAACAGAAAGTAGCCCACCTTGAAAAAAGATAAATTTATAAAGATGAAAAATACAAGAAGTGTTTTCACTTTACATACATAATACACAATTCTTATGCACATAAATATCTCACACTTAAACTTTCATATTCAGACATATCACTCAAATCTTCAATATCACATAAGAAAATGGTACTATTATTCCTTTTTAAAAGTGAAATACACCTTCTCATGCATAGATAGATTTAGAGCACCAAACTATTTTGTACATAAATATGAAAGTTTAGTTTTGAGACATGTAAATACATAAGAATTGTGTGCTACGTATGTAAATTTCCCAAAATGCAATTCCCTTACACCTGGTAGATAAAACTAGAGCAGTTATAAAAAAACAATGATAGGGAAATAAAAGAACAATTCCCAACTTTACCGGGACGTAGGATCAATTAAAAACTAAACCACATGATGGAAAAACGAGATCATAACAATTGAAAAAGATCGAAACAAACTCTAAGTAGAAAACACAATCAAAACAACCAGAAAAACACACGAGATTTATGTGGAAAAAATCGAGAACAGGAAAAAACCACAGTCATAACACCAAAAATTTCACTATGAAATTCATAAAATGTTTACAAAGAGCTCACAGAAGTTACCTCTCTACACAAATAAAATCACAACACTCTAGAATCATTCCTTTCCGATCTGACTCAAAAATCACGCTGAATCACTAAAATCCACCTCTTCGAAACTTCTCTACTTCATCGGGATGCCCGTCAAAGAATACGAAAGGAACAAACACCAAGTCCTACCTTATCCCGCTCGAAATCGACACTAAAGCAAGAATTCCCCAAAGCCAACCACTCCTAGCACATAGGCGACCAAACTTGGCGCCTATGCGCCAAGCTTTCTACTTGGCATAGGGTTGTTAAAACGGTTAGTTCTACGCGAACAACTTATGTTTGGCTTGTTAAGTAGCTCGTGCTCAATTCGTTCACCAAGTAAATGAGTCGAACACAAACAAAGTTCTGTTTGTTCTTGTTCAGCTCGTTTTGGCTTGAAGTAAATAAATTATATATATATATATATATATATACATACACATACATACATACAATCACCGTGTTAATATCGAACAAGACTCAATGAAACCAAAAGGAATAAAAGAACTGAGATATTACCATGCTGGCATATTTTGAGAGCACCTTTAACAAAAATAAAAATCAACATATTTTTTTGTTAATGGCAATAAATATTAGTCCTACAAATTATATTTTGATATATAAATAATATCAGTCATATTAATTATAAAATATATATAACCACTTGCATGTGATCTATAAAATATACAAGTATGTTATAAAAAATTGTTGATATTAAGCCCTTTTGATAATGATTAGTTGGCCGATGGGTATATATATATATATATATATATATGATCACCATGTGTAAAAAGTTGATTAAGCTTGTTGAAACCCAAAGAAATAAATTTAAAATCAAATGCAAATGAGATACTCCCATGTTTGCCTATTTTGAGGGCACCGCTTAACAAAATTTACTTTTGACAACTATCTATAAATGTGGCATGAACGGCTTGCACACTTTATAAAATATTTGAATTCACTTAAATACTTATTTTATTTTTATTATTAAAAAATAGAGGCACAAGTAAGAAAAAATGTTAAGCAATCATGTTTTTATTTATTTTTTTTGGAAAAAAAATGGATTGTATCTAGGGCTGTAAACGAGCCGAGGCCGAGCGAGCTCAAGGTCGACTAGTGTTCGGCTCGTTCGATATTGGCTCGTGTTCAAAATGGCTTGTGAACGGTGTGTTCGTATTTGGCTCGAATAATATTTCCAGCTCGAGTTCGACTTGAGTTCGGCTCGAAATTAGAGGAGATGGCTCGGAAGAGGAAGAGGAAGATGACTCAAAAGAGGAAGAGGAAGACAAACAGCAAACCCTAATCTCTCGCCACCGAAGCCCTTTTGTGATTTTGAGAGAAGGAGATGACTAGGAAGAGGAGGAGAGCAGCGAACACAAACAACAAATCCTAAGCTCTTACAGTCAAATGCCTTTCGCTATTTTGAGAGGAAAGAGAAGAGTCGGTCGAACGCCCTTCGCGATTTCATTAAACTTATATATTATATCATATTAATTATATAACTTATTTTATATAAATATATAATATTTATATAAGTAATATTTATTAATAATTTGTTATATATTATAATTTATAGGATTTATTTTTTAAAAATTTGATATTTTTTTT